TCAGGAACGGAGCAAAGATCAGTCACCTCCTCTACATGGATGACATCAAGCTGTACGCCAAGAGCGAGAGAGACATCGACTCTCTGATCCAAACAACCAGGATCTACAGCCATGACATCGGGATGTCATTCGGGCTCGAGAAATGTAGCAGGATGGTGACTCGGAGAGGCAAGGTAGTCCACACAGAAGGGATCTCACTCCCAGAGGGAACAATAGCAGACGTTGAGGACAGTTACAAGTATCTCGGTATACCACAGGCAAATGGCAACCTCGAACAGGTGACGAGGAAAGCGGCAACTGCCAAATACCTCCAGCGAGTAAGGCAGGTCCTAAGAAGCCGGCTCAATGGCAAGAACAAAGCCCGGGCAATTAACAGCTACGCCCTGCCAGTGATCAGATACCCTGCAGGAATAATCAGGTGGCCAAAGGAAGAGATCCAGACCACGGATGTTAAAACTCGAAAGCTCCTTACCATGCATGGCGGGTTCCATCCCAAATCCAGCACCCTGAGACTGTACGTAAGCCGTAAAGAAGGAGGCCGAGGACTAGTGAGTGTGAGAGCCACTGTCCAGGACGAAACATCCAAACTCCATAACTACATCATGGAGAAGGCCAAAACGGATGACGTACTCAGTGAATGTCTCAGGCAGTGTCGAGATGAGGAGGTGCTGGAGGAGAGCCCATCATGGGAGAACAAGCCCCTACACGGCATGTACCACCGGAGCATAACAGAAGTGGCTGATCTCAAGAAGTCCTACCAATGGCTAGAAAGGGCTGGCCTACAGGACAGCACAGAGGCACTCATGATGGCTGCACAGGAACAGGCACTGAGCACCAGAGCGATAGAGGCCCAGATATACCACACCAGACAAGACCCAAGGTGTCGGTTGTGCAAAGAGGCACCTGAGACGATCCAACACATAACTGCAGGGTGCAAGATGCTGGCAGGGAAGGCCTACATGGAACGCCATAACCAAGTGGCTGGCATAGTGTACAGAAACATCTGTGCAGAGTATGGGCTGGAAACCCCAAGGTCTAAGTGGGAAACTCCTCCAAAGGTGGTGGAGAATGAGCGTGCAAAGATCCTGTGGGACTTCCAGATACAGACCGATCGAATGGTAATGGCGAACCAACCTGACATAGTGGTGGTAGACAAAGGGCAGAGGACAGCCGTGGTGGTGGACGTGGCAATTCCAAGCGATGGTAACATCCGGAAAAAAGAACATGAAAAGCTTGAGAAATACCAAGGTCTCAGAGAGGAGCTGGAGAGGGCCTGGAGGGTAAAGGTGACAGTAGTGCCCGTGGTGATCGGTGCACTCGGGGCAGTGACCCCGAAGCTAGAAGAGTGGTTACAGCGGATCCCTGGAACAACCTCGGACATCTCGGTCCAGAAATGTGCAGTGCTAGGAACAGCAAAGATACTGCGCAGAACCCTCAAGCTCCCAGGCCTCTGGTAGAGGACCCGAGCTTGGAGAGGGATAACCGCCCGCGGAGGTGAGTGGACAATTATTTTTTTTTTTTTTATAAGATTATATATATATATATATCTTTATATACATATATAAGATATATATATATATGATATATATATATCATATATATATATATCTTATATATATATATATATATGTGTGTTATATATATTTTACTAGTTTCACTTGTTTATTTGGTGCCCTTTTATTTTTTGCAAATGATTGAATGTTTGCTTATCTCACATTTTTATGTGTACATATTTATTCTAGATGTATGTATGTGTTTATGTTTATGTGTGTATGTATATATGCGTATATGTATATATCTTGTTCTGATGTGCAGGGGTTCTGGGGAAAAAAGAAAAGAGCAAGCTTGCAATCTGTAAAATTGTATTACAAAAATGCCACTCTTCAATAAACAAATTAAAGATAAAATGAAATGAGGTCAGGGTGAGAAACACTCCCCTCTCTTGGTAGAAGTGAGCAATTACATTGTTTTTCTAGGAAATTGCTTTGGCTCTCGGTGCAAACAAGTCAAAAATAGAGAAATAAAAAAAATCTTAAGTATAAAATTCTCCAACAAGTTTGTTGGAAACTATGATGAACAAGAGGTGACTGCTGCCTCATGTGAAATGCCTGAAATGAATAAATAAACAAACAAACAAACAAACAAAACTCAGTGCACACAATTTACAATACACATTAAGCAGAGCAAGTAAGGAGACAGCAGTAAAGTGGCTTTTTAAAGGCCTGGGGACACGTGTTCAAGAGTCCAACAGCAGAGGAGAAGAAACTGTTCTTAAAGAGGGAGGTTCTGGTCCGAATGGACCGCAGCCCCCTGTCTGAGGGGAGAGTAAAGGGTGAGAGGGGTCGGCCATGAAACGACCAGCCCGGCCTTAAGCTCAGGCGTTGTACAGGTCCTGCAGCGATGGAAGGCTACGGCCAATCACCCTCTCTGCAGAGCGCACAATACGCCGACGTCTCTGTTTGTCCCTGACTGTGGCTCCAGCGAACCACACGGTGATGGAGGTGGTGAGGATGGACTGCACCAACATCTATGCAGGCTGTTTGACTTTCCTGAGCTGCTGTAGAAAGTACATCCTCTGCTGGGCCTTCTTGATGAGGGAGCCGATGGTCGGCTCCTACTTGAGGTCCTGGGTGATGGTGGTGCCCAGGAAACGGAAGGACTCCACAGAGATGATGGGAAAGTCCATCAGGGAGGGTGGGGGAGCGTGCTCTTCCTGAAGTCCACAATTATCTCCAGTCTTCTGGAAGTTCAGCTCCCGGTTGTTACCACTGCACCAGGACACCAGCCGGTCCACCTCCCTCCTGTAGGCGGATTCATCGTTGTCGGACATTAGTCCAATGAGGGTGGTGTCGCCCAACAACCTTGATAAGCTTCACGGCGTCGTGGCTGGAGGTGCAGTGGTTGGTGTACAGGGAGAAGAGCAGGGGAGCTCCTGTATTTATAATCTGAGAGTCCGAGACATTCTTCCCCAAAGGCACACGCTGCTTCCTGTTCGTCATGTAACGTTTTAAAACAACAAAACAGGAGCGATGTAATAAAATGCATGTAGAGATCGAGGCTCTACAAAAGTTTGGCTTCTGTCAGATCCTTAAAATCTACTTTTCCAAACTGTAACATGGAACCACCCTCACTCAGCTCAAATAATGATAACATGCGTGTTCACAACATTTAACGTTTACACTGCTGACAAACATTTATTACTTATTACTTTGCAATTAGAAGAGTAATTTGCCACAACTGACAACTTACTGGCAGTGAAAGTAGCTCATTTGAACAACTTTCCTTACTGCTTCTCAGTACAGCATGTGAAGACCTTTCTGGTGGTGAAAGGGGCCACTTCTGTCTGACCCAGGGAAGCTGTGGCTACACAACAATGTTACCATTTCCCAATATCAATAAAATTGATATTTAAATGGCACAATGTGTTTGAATGTCCGTATAAAACAACCCAATTTTTTGCAAGCCTATAGAATGTGAATAATTCTAATCCTAAACCTAAATTCAAGCCTAGCACTATCCTCTCGTCTATATGACCCAGGACTGGTCAAGTTACGAAAAATTATCAAAATTCAGCTTGAAAACATTTTTAGGGATGAGGATAGCACAAGGGTTAAATGCAACTAAATTCTTTAACTTTATAAAAGGACAAAAAAGTTAAAAGTAACAATGTAACATGTCAGTTTTTAATGTCCATGAAGTCATTTGTATTTAGAAACCCAAGTAAAAGTACTTTGTATGAACGGATGCTGGCTCATCTCCCACAGAACGAGGTCCATTTAGAAATAGCAGCACTAGTTAGTTGGTTTAGCTAAAAGTATTTTTATTTTTATTTTTTTAAATCACATCTTCATAAATCACCAATCGAATGACAATACCTAATTGTTACTAGATTAACATAAAAATGTTGAGGAGCCCACTAAACAAATAATGCACGGTTCCCCCTCTGTCAAAGCTCTGCCCAGCAGCTGCAAAATAGTGGTGGAGAAAAAGCTAAAATGTTCCAGGATAACGTTTTTGCACTACCCTCCTAAGCTTTTGCACTTTTACACAGTTAATGTGCAGACCATAATAAGTAAGGCAGTTAAGTTGAGCAGTCTTATTTTCCTCATTTTTTGTAATGGCTGTGAATAATTTGAGGAACATGACTTGCGATACATTGCAGAATCAAACCACAATACATGCTGTATTGCAGTATGTTAAGAATCGCAATAATACTGAATTGTAGCCCAAATATAACACTACCAAATTGCCATATTTTAGCCAATTTCCAAACCAACTGCTGAAGAGACTCATGTGAACCGTTTCTATCCTTCATATCATCCGTTGGGTCCTTCCCCAAATCTCAGGACCTTAGATGAGAGTGGAAATGTAGACAGAGCTGTACATAAAGAGCTCAGAGTGCTCCCTCATCACCAACCACCTGTGAGTCTCACGCTCCCCTCACCAAGAACCAACTTGGTAGACAAGAACTGTCCCTCCTCACCAATAACATTACTTGACAATAAAAAAAAAAAAAAAAGGTAGTTCTTGGAGACTGGAATTCAGGTTTTTGTTCTTCAATTTATAATGTGAATGAGTTGACGAGCTCAACACGTTCTCTTGTAACGAAGGATTAATCGCACACAAACAAATTTAAGGTTTGAATTGGGGAACATTTATTACATTTTGATGGTCTTGCAAATTTGCCAATGGAACGGGTATCTTTACCCTTTTTATGTTTTGATTTCCATTTTCTGCAGTATATCCAGTGTTATACTATAGTTTAAACCTCTACAAACTTGAAATGTGTGGGGATCACATAGTTATTTTTTTAAACTTGCTTGATATATGAACACAACAATAACCAACTTAAAAGTAATTATGTTGTAAATCCAGTCACAATCACAATTTGCCAAACGGTGCTGCCCAGCAAAACTGTCAGATGACTAAAACTATTTATAAAATGCTCGCATAGTACAAGAACCTTTTCACGCCTGGTATTAGAGACAGAGCCAACATGCTCACTGATAATAGGGTCTGTATCTGCCCTGGTCCGGGTGGTGCTGGGGCGGCCCTCCCATCTGCCCCTGAGGTGGGGGTGGTCCTTGCATGCGTGGCGGTGGAGGGGGACCCCTGGGAGCCGGCCACAAGCCCGGACTGAGGCCCCCTGGCTGAGTGAACGGCGGGCTGAGCGTAGCCTGGTCTTCTGGAAAGTTGGGATTGTAGTGGTGCGGGGGTGGTGGGGCATTGACAGGGGGAGGAGGGCCACTGTGCTGGGGTGGAGGGTGGTTCATGTAGGGGGGCATCTGGCCCAGGATGTGCCCGGGCGGAGGGGTGATGGGTGGGGGGGCACTGGACATGGGCGGAGGAGCCTGGTTGTAGACCATGTGAGGTGTACCACTGCCCTGTCAGAAGGAGACAAAACAAACAAGTCAGTATCAACTCAGCTGTGGCCGCAGCCGACATTCAAGAGAGAAGTGTGCACTTATGAGCCACTGCTCATGTGGCAGCAGCTATAACGAGCATTTTGCCCCGTTCAACCTGCAGAAGGCATGGACGAGTCACAGAGGTTGGACCCAAGTCATTGTTATGCAAGTCTTTACGGCGTTGAGAATTTACTAAACTCATGGCCATTGATGAGTCTGCAGTCTGAATGTACCTTTAATCAATTACGGCGCAGACGTCGAGTCGCCCCAACAACGAATCTGCCAAGCCGGACAAACCTGCGTGCTGCAAGGCACATGCAAATATTCGTACAGACGTACGTAACTATTGACTTATCATTGAAACTCAACGCATGGTCCAGTGTTAACGCCCCAGAGTCAAGTTCCGAGTCATATTCTAAAATAACAACACAGAAAAACATTACGGTTTATAAATTTGCCAATTTAAACAAATGTATAGGCTCCTGGTTAGGGCACAGAAAGTGCCTGAGGGCCAAGCAGAAATGATGCATGTCCAACCTCCAGGTTCATTATGAGAGTTAATAGACTAAATTATAAAAGTGCTCTATACTGTATCTTCTATTTCAAATGAGTAACAGAGCAGAGGAACATGGGAATATTGTGCAGACGCTTCACGGTACATAGCCCCACATTCTGACTGTTGTCGTGCTCCAGTGTGTTTAAAAAAAATAAAAATCATGAAAACTCCTATGTCCTGTCTGCATGAATGTTACCAGCGTGGACACAACACAGTCTGAATAGATCACGTTTTGATAGCAGAGAACCTGCTACAGCAGCGACATGCAGTTCTGGGAGCAGGGTGTTTAATGACGCTTTTCCACAGTATCAGGACGGTACAGTACAGTACGCTTCAGCGCGGTTATTTTGCGTTTCCACTAGTGGATGGTATGGGAGATTTGCGTGCTTTTCCGTACTGCCTCAGCCGTGGTTCCATCCCCATAGTACCGAGCCATGACGTGAGGTTCGGCCCACTGTCTTACACTGGTCAGATGGAAGCGACATCTGACCCTTTGGGAAAAACAACTCAACCGCCATCTTTAAAACCGGCTGCTCTGCTCGGCTCTGCTTCGGCTACATTACGTCCTCCTCCCTCCAGAGAAATGGAATCGCACAAAAAGCCCCAAAAGTCCTGGTCCTGGTTGGTGGACGAGGTCCACACATTCCTCTCTTCACGCCAAAGAAAGAATTCAAAGGCAGCTCGAGGCTCAACAGTTTTCAGGGAGATCACCCAGCTCTGGATTTGTGACTAGTCTGTGGTAATCCTGGAAATAACTGGTTAGCTACGAATCCCGTTAAAGCTCTCACTGAAATGTATTTACTGTGTACATGTTTGATTGTCTGTTGTACACAGTGAGCTAGCAACAATTAGCTTAATTTAGCCATCGATAGCAGCTAAGCTAACATCCTCCCTGTGCTGTGCTTTTTCTTGCATTATCTGCAGTACCCACGTGTTCTGTTTTGTGCTTGTATTTAATTTGTCGTGTGTATATTTGTATGAGAATCCCTTCCCAAAAGTGTGGAGATTACCAACGAGCAATGAGTGACCAGAGTATTCTCCTCATCTGGTCTCACACATACGTACCTTGGACTTACTTTGCTTACTTTTATACGTAATTTGAAACTGATGGTTTTGCACTTTACGTTTGTTTTTAATAAATCTGTGATTGTATTCCAAGACTGTGTTTCATTCATATAAAGGATATACATACATAAAGGATAGTGGCAAGTCTAAATCTGTATCCGGTGAGCATGTTTTGATTGTTATCCCTCTGCGCTCTGTTTGCATTAACCTTTGATAAATCCTCGTATTAGTCTACAACAAGCTAACTTTGTAAGCACTCTGAATCAACTGTATTGTAGCTGAAGTTTGGGTATCTATTGTTTTTCTGGTCTGAGTCTGCTGCGCTGCACTGGACGCGGGCCTAGCCTAGCCTAGCCGCTAACTCGCTACCCCTATGGCTGCTTCTGTCTATTCCTCGGTCCTTTACTGCTCGAGTTGCCATATGACGAGTTTAAACCCTGGATCCTCCTCTGAGGGTAGTAATAGGTGTGTTAAGTGTAGTACAGTTGTAGCTTTGGAATCCAGGGTTAGTGAGTGAGCTGAGTCTCGAGCTAGCGCTAGCATTAGCTATAGCCTAGCCGTATCCTCGGACATGCAGCCCTCCTCTGCTACACAGGCTGCTGTTGCTACAGGTCCCATTCAGATTGTACAGAGCAGTCAGCACCATTGACTTCACAGTTTCCGAGTCATTCTTTTAAGACATAAGCATTTTCAACAACCACTCGTGCTGTGCTGAATTTTCTATTAAACACTTGCTCTGGTATTATAATAAATCCATGCACCGCACCAATACTAGTTACGCGTCACGCGTAAATGACGTGGTCTGACAACACTGAGGACATACTAGGGGGTACTATTTTTGATGGAAAAGCACGCAAACCGGGCCGCGCCGTGCCATTTAGAGTCGATACGAAGCGTAATGATACTGTGGAAAAGCGGCATATGTGAGTCACACATCCTGCTGCTGAAAGGGGTGGCGGGCAGAAATGCAGGCGCAGAAGCAACTCTCAGATAAACACATTTTTAAGAGTCACTTTCGAGTGAAGTCAAGAGTCAAACTTTAAAGTCCATGTCGAGTTGCAAGTCTTTGTGGATTTGGTCGAGTAAAGTTTAAAATAATCAGAATTAGGACTCAAGTCCACACCTCTGAGGTCTTGAGTAGTGAATTGTTTTGTGAGCTAGTTTTGCGTAGAGCCCAGTTTAGCAGCTGGGGGACGTCTTTTGTTTCGCTCACTAACCAAAGAATGTGTAGTGGGGTCTTACCTGCGGGTGTTGCATGGGGTGGTTGATGGGAGGGGGTGGCGGAGGCGGGGGGCCGAAGTGCTGCTGAGGCATGAGGTGGTGAGGGTGGGACACGACAGGGGGAGGCTGCGTTGCATAGTCCCCAGAGTGATGGTGGGAGGGGGGAGGCTGAGGCATGCCATCTCTGCCTGGACCCGAGTCAAGACCTGGCAACGTGAGAAACATTGGAGGCATTTTAAGCCTAGTGTATAGTTGTGCGAGTTTACGATGGTGACATGACGTAACTTGCGTAACGCAAAGATCACCGCAAGAACCTTGCGTAGCCTGCCGCGCACCCTCAAAATGTCTAACTACGCAGCCAGTGCCGCAGAGAAGCTCCACTGTGATTGGTCAGCGTGTGATTACTTTCTGGGAAGCATGGAGCGGCTGCAGGGAGCATGGACGAGGCACTTCGGAGCAGACTGCTTTGTGCTTCGAAGAAACCAAAGCAAAAGCAGTTTGGGCTCATGGCAGAGCCTGATATATGCGGAGACTGTGGACTAGAGTTCTGTTGCATATCAAACATATAACTTATAAACAGTGAAGTCGTTTGTTTTGCACTGTTCCTGTCTTTGTTTGAATCGGCTTGTAGCTTATTGCGTCTGCATTCCTCCTGCACTTGTAAATAGTTGATGTTTGCCTCAGATGTTTACCACTTATTGTTTTGCTGTTTGTGCTGAATACAATTTAATAATAACTGTTTCCATCAAGAACTGTCTTTATTCACAACATCACAGTTAAATGAGTTGAAACTATGATTTTAGAACTGTCACATCAACCTACACTAGAAACACATGTAATTATCTCAAACAGCTTCGTTTGCTATAGTTTTTGTTCTGAAGAGGAGAAAGTAGCAGCGTAAATGCTTTTCCTTCGGTCCCCTTCGAAGAACTGAGACAATCTACTCCGAGGTGCCTCGTCCCTGTTTTATGCAGATGCTCCATGCTTCCATCCAAAACATAACACACAAGCCAATCACAATGGACCTTCTCTTCGATGGCGGGTGCGTAGTGAGAAAAATTGGAGGGTAGTAGCACAAGGGGTCCTTGCTAGGGATGTAAATCGGCGACCGTTTAACCGGTGGTTGACCGTCACAGCGTTAACCGGTCAAAGCTGTCGGTTAAAAAAGAGAAAAAGGGGAGAGGGGAGGTCTCTTAATAACGCTATTTTAAGCCCTGTTTGCACGGTGTGACGAGCGGGTCTTTATCTAGCTGTGTGCGCCCATGTATTATAAACTCCGGGACGACTCTCACGCCGCACGAGCCACACACACACACACACCATCTCTCCCCTCTGTTACCGTCAAAGTTGCACACTGGCGCGGGTCAGAACTACATTGGAGCTTACATTTACACACACACACATATACATACACACACCGGTACCGGTCTGTCGCGCTCCTCTGTGTCACGGAGCCCAAAGGATTCGCGCAAATACGCGGCTCCAGTCAAACCACATGGAACATAGCAAAGGAACATAGCAAACATGTTTGTGTTTATTGTCCTTGGGATCAGCTCCACACACATCACTTGTATTTAAACTTTTGTGAAGACCTGTGAGACGCGGCGCGTCACTCGCTGCTCTGACCATGTGGACGAGCCGTCGTTTGCTGCTAGAAAGTTTTGGTATTAACCCGCAGCACTGCTGTGCTGCGGGTTGGAAGAATGGGAAGATTAAAAAAGCAGTTCTCTGTGCGCAAAGGTGCCGGAGCTGTTGCGGGTTTGGGCGCCGCTGTCTCAACTCTGATCCAGTAGAACGCAGAGCTGCACTTATGAAAAGTACGCGGCTCGAAATGGCTGTTATTTCAAAGAACGTGGACTATTTTAAACTACGCGGTTAACCGGTTTCAATCGGTTAATGAGGCTCGGTGGTCGGTCATGAAAATTCATAGTTTTTTACATCCCTAGTCCTTGCAGTCTTGCGGTGACTGCAAGCACAGCGACACCCAAAGGAAACTTGTTATCTCCGGGCCGTGTTATGGAGCATTTATCATTTTCATCTTTATCTGCTCCACTAAACAGAAGATATATTTCCCATCCAAAGTTCCTGACATGCACACAAAAGCAGCAAAATTCCCATCATATTGGGAAGGTGTCCATGTGGTGCCTCCTCATCCCACATCTTTCCTTTATGGCCTTGTGCATAGCTCTTATTTGGATAAAAATGTTTTTGTGTGGGAGGATTTAGAAGGGGACTGCTGCCTTACACCTGCCTTTGCCACCTTTTGCTTGTCTGCGTGGCTCTTGTTCCTGTGTTAGCAGTCTTTCAACTTTGTCTCCTTATCCATACACGTGGAAAAAAAGTTTGATTGAGAAATGGTTTCAGGAAACAACAGACTAAATAATGGATTTACAGAACTGTATCCAAAGGAACTAAAAGACATTGGTGATCTGAACAAAAAGTGTGAACAGATGAAATGTGTTAACCTCTATTTGCACATAAATATCGAGTTCTAGCATGGAAATGGAACTTTGTCAACACTCACCTTACACATTTTGCCTTGGTTTAACTGAACCGGCGTTGCCTGAGCTATTTTTTACACAAAGTAATAAATTGAATGAGGCAGTCCTCTTGACATGCCACAATTGTAAATGTCCAAACTGCAGCTGACAGTGCCCACATTATACTGAAGAGTAAAGAACATGGTAAAAGTCCCACCTGAATCGTCCTGGATGGGCACAGTGATCAGGTTACTGTGCTTCCGTGTGGTTACTGTGGCGATACGGAAAGTCTCTCCGGCACCAGGTGTTGATGCGTCGTGTGGTCCAGGCGGCGGCTGGCTGTATGGGTCATGGAGGTGGTGGCCTTTCTGCAGGTGTGGAGGAGGGCCGCGATAGCGCTCGGGGTGGTCAGAGGGTGGGTTGCGGCCGCTCTTGCTAACCGAGCGCATGTGGCGGTGGTTGACATGGGCCTGGAGGTCGCGCTCAGAGAGGTATGTACGTTTACAGCCGGGGACTACAGAACACATCCAAAGAGAGCCGCGCTGACACTGCTCTATACGCTGCACCGCGTCCGAGCAGCTCAGCATGGTCAGCCTGAAGATGCAGACACAGACACCAGTTATAGACCATTAGAAGTTATGTTTGTCTAATCACAGAACAAGAGCTCTGTCACTCCAGAGAGAGAGAGCTCTGTCACTGCAGAGAGAAAGAGCTCTGTCACTGCAGAGAGAGAGAGTTTTCTCTCTCTGCAGTGACAGAGCCGTCACTGCACAGACACTGTTGAGGCCCTCTGGGATGAGCTCTGCGACCCCCATGGTCAGGACATTAATGGCATGACGGAGTGCATCATAGGATATATAAAACTTCTTCTTCGAGAACACTTCGGTGACCTGGAAAATGCGGTGTTTTGCGAACAACAAGCCGTGGATTCATTCCGACAAAGGCTTCCGACCCCACCCCCTGCTCTGCTGCTGCCCACCCCCGTTAGAGAACAATGCCCCCCAGACACGATCGTTAACACTATGGGGCCCACAACTCTCAGATCTCTCCCACCACCAGCCCCAACCCCTGTCATTCACTGCCGCACAGGTCAGAATGGAACTGCTTAAAATCAAGCCAGGGAAGGTCTGTGGACCAGACAACATGAGCTCCAGGCTCCTGCGCAGATGAACTCTTTGGAGTGATGGAGCGAGCCTTCAACCTGAGCCTCAGGTTGAGGTCGGTACCACAGCTTTGGAAGACCTCCTGTGTGGTTCCAGTGCCCATGACACCACGGGCCAAAAACCTTAGCGACTTCAGGCCGGTGGCTTTGACATCCCACTGCATGAAGACACTGGAGAAACATCTCCGCTCCACTCCGACCTCAGCGATGGACCTGCTGCAGTTTGCCTACCGGCCGGGCATTGGAGTTAAGGACGCTATCATCTCCCTCCTTCATCGCTCGCTGTCCCACCTAGAGAAACCCGGCTCCGCTGTGACGATTCTGTTCTTCGACTTCTCCAGCGCCCTCAACACCATCCAGCCGCAGCTTCTCAGGGACAAGCTGTAGACAGCTGGAGACAGCTGGAGTGGGCTACAACCTGTCTGAGTGGATCCTGGACTACCTCACAGACAGACCCCAGTTTTTGAGAACCAGGGACTTTGTGTCTGAGGTCATGACCTGCAGTGTGGGGGGTCCCCCAGGGGACAGGCCTCACGCCGTTCTTCACTCTCTACACTGCGGACTTCAGACACAACACGGGCGGTGATGCTAAAACACGCTGATTGTATCCATCTGCCTATCGGCTTGTGGATATTGCAGTGTGCCCACAAGTTTGTGGGTTTTTCCTTTTCTTTGTGTTTCTGCTTTTCTCTCCTTCAGGGGATTGAAAAATATTCCCATGAACATTACCATTCGGCCATACCCAATGCTTATATGCACCCTTTTAAACGTGATCAGTGCCCATAACCATTTTAAAAGGGTTTTAGAAAAAGTGGAAAACACAGCAGATCCAGATAGACAATCAACAGCTTTTGGAGCTTGTTCAGCAGCCAGACCCCCTGTGCCGCTGCCGCAACATTCTCACAGACCAACGCACTTTGCTGCTGCTGTGTGAGATCTAATAGGTTTACAGCAACAAGTTTCATGCATTTCATTGATGAGCAGGTTCTGTGACCCTGCACTCCGCCAGTCCCGTCTACTGCACTGAATTTACATTCATGGTGCATTTCATGATGAACTTGTATAAAGCCTCAGTTATAGCATTTAAGACACAGTAAAAGTGTGGTTAGCAGAGGGTGCTTAATTCTAAAGCATTATTAATATTGAGCGCTGGACATTTACCATAACTCTCCCCACCTCCCTCACACTAGAAACCCAGCCATGACACAGTTCTATATAAAAGATCCCTTTAATTACCCTGGACACATCTTGTCTCCTTTCTTCTCATGGAGCAGAGCGCACTCATAACAGAAGACGTGCTTACAAGGGATCTAGGGAAAATCGAACCCAATTATCAGCATTCAATTCAACAAGTACTGCCAATAAAAAGGATGGGAAAGTACTCACCATTCGCCCATACAGATGAATGGGCAGCCCACATTTGTCACAGAAGTGAATGGGCAACTTGTCTTTTTCTCCAATCAGGTGCACCTATGAAAACATTAACACACACCCGACAAACTATCAAGAAAAATGTGACGTTGGCACCCTTTTTTTTATTTTTAACTACAGGTACTACTGGAATGGAAACTTGTTGATCGATTTAGGCTTTGACAAGCATGGAGAGCACACAATAGTTTGTCAGTATGTCCAAATCTCAAACTCATTTTCCAAAAACAATATCTATGGTCTCAGTCAAATTCCTGCTGAAGGAGGAGGGTTTAAGGACAAGGAATCCTAGGACATTTATCCATTTGCTTATTTCCAACATTGATAAATCTGTGTGTGCTTAATGAACAAACAAGTGTTTTATTTAAAACCAGGTTCTGCATGTTTTGTTTTCTATATTTTTCTTAACGACTGAAATGATGACGTTACCCGAGAGGTCCCTAAATTAAGCAGCGCAACAATCAATTGATTGTTGGACAGTTTTATTTTAACATCTATATTTTTCTTTCATTCTCGTGTCACAAATGCATGGAATGGCCCCATTCGAGTCCATGTAGACACAAGGGGGAAAAGTAAATCTCAAGAAGAGCAGTCAATAGCAGCCAAATGTTTAGCATGTTTGTACCTTACAGTCCCAGAAAAGCGGTTGGAGGAATCTCCTCTGGTTCCCATAAACATCTTTCGCTCCACAGTCAAAACGCTCCTCCTGTTTGAATCCAAAGTTTTCTGAAGAACAAAGTCAAATACATATTAGCCATCACCAACACATCAGGGAAGTACATGGGTATTCAGTGACACAAAGGCTGTATTATTGTCACTTTAGTCAGTTTGTGTTGACATTGGGCAATAGTGAAAAAGCCATAACAACTGTATTACCTTTGTACAAATAGAAAAAATAAAGTTATCTCCTCTGTCTCTGCCTCAATTACAAATGCTTATTAAAAATATTTGAAGACTATTCAGATACGGCAAAGTGGCTCACTGCCAAGCCCCGGTGATCCAAGATGGCGCCCTATTCAAACGAATGGCTTGTGCTCAGTAGCGCATGGGACTTATCAGAGGAACTCGCCTATATTTGGGCATCGTCTGGTCCTCCCGGTTCTGCGCATTGGATTATCTTCCATGATGCGTTGCGCCAATTACGCGTGTGTGGCTCTCATGCACATGCACAGAGGGGCTCGGCCACTCTTTGACCAATCAGAGATGCTGATCAGAGCAGCGGTATAGCGGAGTCAGAGCGGGAAGGAAACGAGCAGAGTTTGTGGCAGTAAAGTGTGGATTTAAAGAAAACCAAACAATTTAAGAAGAAAAAAAAGTTCAGGATGACAAGGGACACCAAAATCCCCACAAAATCCAATCTTTATGAAAGCTATAGGTTCTCTTTCAGCTGGGGTCGAGCTGTTATAATTTACATTGAGTTCAATGGGACTTATTTCTCGGTAGCCCATGTGAATTTAGTCTGCAGTACCACGGGCGCCCCCTGTACCCATGGGTGGCACAGCTATAAGCTAGTATTACCCTATACAGTTATTATAGATCCATGCTCACTGCAGATAAATATTATTCTGAAATGCATGTCATTCTTGATTCAGTGTAGCTTTTTTATTTTCAAAGAATGGAAGCTCGAAGAAGCAAGCCAGAAAAGGGGTTAAACATAAACTAATTGTATTCTTTCTGAAGCTTTTTGGATATTTCATGCTTCTTTCCTCATTTTTTTTACTGATTTCATATCAGCGCTTCAGTACAATTGCCACGGGTCCTTTTCCGTTTGTAGTGTCCCTTTACTGCACTTTTATTTTTATTTTTGGCAACTACATATAAATGTCAATTGCAACACTTTATTATATATTATGTTATAATATAATTATTTAGGATAAGTTATTATCCTAAATAATTTAACCCTAATGAATTGATATTAGGAGATTATTTTCAAAAGCATCTGGAACTAGGTATTTATAAAGTTATATTAACAGAGCTTCCTACATGAATTAGGTTTGGGGAGAAACTGGATGCTTTAAGGCCCTGTTCAGACGGAGACACTGCGGAGACGCTCGAAGCACACATTAGTAACATTAGTTGATCCGCCGCCATCGTCGTTTACGTTTGTTCTTGGCTACTGCACATGTCCAAATGGACGTAGCGGAAGTGGTGAGGTCATTGCAGCCCTAGAATTCACACCTTTTTCTTCACAAAACTGAACCGACCCCTCACCGCATCTGTTCTTTTCCACTCTGGAGGCTGTTTCTCAAGGCTTGCGTCAACCCCCCCGAAATACGTCTTGATGTAAACGAAAGGCCAATACCCAACTTGAATGTTTTATTGTTGCAGCATCCTCATGTAAACAGCACCTAAGTCTCTCAGCTGACCAGGGAACGCCTCAGGATTTTACTGGTTGATCTAAAAGAAGTGTGGATACTGATGGATACAAAGTCACCCACTCTCACCCTCGTCTCCTGGCTCGCTTTTGCACACACGGCCTCCTGTCCTCACAGCTCTGGGGGGAGGCTTGCTCCTGAGTGGCTGCTTTGAGATGAGTTTGATGGGGATCCGTCTGCGAACGTCCGGCCCTCCCAAACTCCCTGAGCCATCGCTGCCCTGGAGATCATTGTCTGAAGAAAGACAGATTATATTGATGATCAATTAGTTGGCTGATTATTCTTTTGATTAATGGATTAGTTGATTTGATCTCGAAAGGTCAGCGAATATGGAATATTTTAAATGAGAACGTCTTAACAGATTGTTACACATTGGGTTGTTTTGTTGAAAATACAAAACAACTGCTATCAGAATTATCAGAGTCAAAGGCTCTTATCTCAATCCTCAAAAAAACAAATAACAATTACATCAATTACTAAATTAGTTACTAAATAATCAAATTAGTTGTGATTTATCAATTAACTTGAAAGTGAAATTACTTTATGCCACTGAAACAAAGAGCAGCAGAGTCCCATAAAAGAAAATAATTTCTTATATCTTAGGAGGATAAGAAAAATCTTATTTCTATCATTTTTATTAAAGGGTATTTAGGAGGATTTTCTACTTCCGGTTGGATGTTCGTCACAAAAGACCAGAAAGTTTTGTCCAAAAAGTGGAGAGGACGGTTCTTTCCTAAAATTTAGGAAAATTATTCTATATAACAGTCCTTAAAATAAATGTATGATTGTGACAGGCCTTGGTTCATTTACAACTATGTGACAGTCAGCCACAACAGTGTGTAAGCTAGATAAAGAATTAAACACAATGTTACAGGCTCAATTTCATTTTGACCGTAAAAATAATCAAATACTAAATCCAAATGTGCACACATTTATTACATTTAGTTAGTAATTCAGTTTTGAAATATTTGAAATGTAATGACTTGTTTAAAAATGCTAACGTTGGAACGATTGTATTTAAACTTGAAAAAATGCAATTGCCCAATGGATTATAGATCATTTATCACCACGTCATAACTGTTCTTAGCATTATTACTTTGACATAAGTGAGATACAGCAGCTTAAAACACTTGCTAGAAGTCGTTCGCTCCATAACACATACGATCATGCTTTGTCCGCTAAATTCGTTGTGAAACAAGAGTTAAAACGTCACTACTCATGTCGTGAACTTTCTTCAGTCCAAGTAAAAAACGCAGCACAGATTGTAGACATAACATCTTGTGTTTTTAATTCAAAAGTGCTCCGAGACGAAGGCTGCGTGATGCTAGCGGTGGCGTGCCAACTCCTCTAGTATCGCTTTGCAAAACAAACTCCAACATTCTGCGCTGTGCTGTGAGGGTGAACTGAGGAGTGAGTGACAATTCGAATGTCTGCTTTTTTCTTTCACTGGAATGTGAATGAGAAAGTGAGAAAAGGAGAAACTAGAAGAGGCCTGAAAAAGCCTTACCGCTCTGGTCCATGATCCACAGAGTGCGCGCGCAGTATTCTTCTTCTTCTTGGTTTGGTTTCCGGCAGGCTTGTCGCCTCTTTGCGCATTGCTGCCTTTCCCGGTCCTATTGTGCACTGCATTCGTATGCCGCTCAGCTGCTCGTAAAAAGTCCAAGACCGCTCTCACAACCAGGTTCTGTTCTCTGTCTGGGCTCAGGAGAGACTTCAGATTACAGTCCATTGATAGCTTTGTCATAAACTCCTTAAGCACGGCTCGCTGACCAGAATATACTGGACAATCCATGAATACATGACTCACAGTCTGATTTTCGTTACAGTGTGCACATTACCCACTTTGGTGTTTCCCAACTATATATCTGTCCCACGCTAGCTCACAATGCCCTAATCTCAGCCTGGTAAGGGTGACCTCAGACCTCCTATCCTTAACACATATTATTGGTTTCCATTTAACAGAGTAATTGATAGCATATAAATGACGCCCCCTACTGTCCCCATCCCATATTGCTACCCAAGCAGCTGTAACGTGCATGTTAATCTTAGCTTTCCTCTCAAGCATCCCTGGGATCAAACTACACTCTAAAGGTTTTTTCAAAGCCCGTTTTGCCGCCATGTCTGCAAATTCATTGCCCCAGACACCAACATGAGCCGGCACCCAAAGAAACCCCACAGACCCCTTCGATTGCTCAATCTCAGATATTTCAGTCAGCAACTATATCATTAGATCTGGCCTGGCACTGCCTTTGCCGAAACCTATAGAGCTTAACACAGCAGCTGAATCAGAACATACAACAATTTGGCCTTGTTTAGTGGCCTTTGCCCACCGAAGAGCACATGTTATTGCTGTTATTTCTGCAGTGTACACAGATATCTCATTTGGTAGTCTCTTATTAAAAATCACATCTAACTGAGGCACAAAAAAGGCACACCCTGTCTTTCCAGATTCCTTTTCCTTTGAGCCAACTGTAAAAATCTGCAAATGGCCTTCCCATCTCCCTCCCAACGCCTGTTCTCAAGGTTAAAATATTCAGGGTCATTTTTTCCCCTTACCTTCAACTGACATGTCAATGTCTGGGGATGGTAATGTCCAAGGAGGAATGGCTGGCCATAACAGCTAAAGGGCAACCCCCACCTCTCAAAATCTCAACTTCTCCATTTCTTTACTTACAGTAACAACAAAAGGGTCATGGTTCCTTCTTGATCCTAACTCCCATGATGGATCTCGCAACTCTTTCGCTGGGAAGTCCCCAGTAAGAGCTCTTAGTTTAATCAGGTACTGCATAGCTAGCTTGTCTCGTCTAATCCTTAAAGGTGATTCCCCCACCTCTACTAACAGTGCAGGAATTGGAAAAGACCTGCAGGCTCCGCAACAAACCCTTAGTGCTTTTGCTTGAACAACATCCAGTAAATTTAAAAGGGGGCTATACTTATTAAAAACATTTTTTCTGATAAAAACATGTATTTCCCACCTTTACAATGTGTTTTTGTGTTATAGATAAGTAATAAATCCGTGAAATAACTTTTTAATATCAACGCCTCTGATTGGCTGGAAAAATGATGACGTACTTGTAGGGGTCGCAGCTCCCGCCTCACTGTTTATGGCATTGCTCCTGCTGCCGCTTTGACACAAATAAACCTTAAAATGGGTGTATTTTGTATGGCCCTGGGATGCAGCAATGAAAGTTGCCAAAAGAAGAGTGTAAACAGCAGTCCCTATGATCTTTGACTTATTCAGAGAAGGCGACGGTCCAAACAAACTGAGAGAAGACACCAGCGCGAGATTAATGAAATTAGTTATATCAAGCTCCAGTTTCAACCCAGTATTCAGCAGAAAACACAACAACTGTCATTGAATGATGAATCCATGTTTCACTCTAACTACGTTTAGTAAAAGATATAGATAAGATATGACACATACCATCATGTTTTAGACTTTAGAACCACAGACACACGTTTAGTATAAGACTTAAGAACCACAGACACATGTTCAGAATAAGACCATATATGTTTGCATTTGATTGAAGACACTCACCATTTCTCTCAAACTCAACATCTGGAGCTGGGACATAGAATTGAGGCTTCTCTCTCGGTGTTGTGGGTATTGACGTGTTAGCTGGTCCATCTTGTCAAACCACCTCCAGACTTTTCAATATCCATTCCTTCGTCTCTAGCGCTACCTTTGCTAACACTTATTTACACTCACTCGGGTGCACCATGGAGGTCAAACTGACTGCATCCGCAACCCGGGTCAGACCCGGTCGGACGATAGATCCATGACTCCAGCCCGTGGAATGTTGAGTTCTTGGAGATTGCTCCTCATCTGAACCGAGTCAGAGTCCTCAAAATCAGAATTACTGTCACAGACTTGTATTGTCCATCACTAAACAACAAATATCTGTTTAAAACGTCTGTCACTTCACTTCCGGTCTCTGCAACTTTTCCGCAAATTTCTTTTTGCATGGTAATTATATCTAGAAACTACTAAGGGTGAAACTATCTGTCAAAATGAGTTTTATTTAACACAAAAAAAAAAGACCACAATATACCAACAAAATAAGATCGACATTGCTGCCCTACCATATGCTAAACATCCAGAGTCTAACCTTGACCTTACCATTACCCGATAAATGACCATTTGAGTTTCTCTCGGAGCCCCCCAACAATTCCCTGACAAAGCCCGCATCACATTTATCACCTTTTCACATTTTACTATAACATTTTAAATTTTCTTTTCCCACAGACACTTTTCATCAAGGATTACTCCAAGAAACTTAAAAGTCCCTCACCCTTTCAATTTGCTGCCCATACAGCGTCAATTCCTGACCAACCTTTTTATTTCCAAAAATCACAAATTTACTTTTTTCAACAGAAATTCTAAACCCCCAGTCCTGCCCCCATTGCACCACTTTATTATTAGCTACCTGCACTTGCCCTACCACATAGTCTACGTTTCTTCCTCTTTTCCAAATGACCCCATCACCCGCAAAGAGAGATGTGCCAAAAGACGGGCCTAGAGAGTTAAAAAATATCATTGACTGTTAATGCTGGTTCACCAGGTTTCCTTAAACAGTCGTCCGATGAAAGGAAGGAAATTACGAACTATCCATCCATCCATCCATTTTCTTCCGCTTTATCCGTTGCCGGGTCGCGGGGGCAGCAGTCTAAGCAGAGACGCCCAGACTTCCCTATCCACACACACTTCCTCCAGCTCGTCCGGGGGGACCCCAAGGCGTTCCCAGGCCAGCTGAGAGACATAGTCCCTCCAGCGTGTCCTGGGTCTTCCGCGGGGCCTCCTCCCGGTGGGACGTGCCCGGAACACCTCCCCAGGGAGGCGTCCAGGAGGCATCCGGAACAGATGCCCGAGCCACCTCAACTGGTTCCTCTCGACGTGGAGAAGCAGCGGTTCTACTCCGAGCTCCTCCCGTGTGACTGAGCTCCTCACCCTATCTCTAAGGGAGCGCCCAGCCACTCTGCGGAGGAAGCTCATTTCGACCGCTTGTATCCGCGATCTCGTTCTTTCGGTCATTACCCAAAGCTCATGACCATAGGTGAGGGAGGGAACGAAGATTGACCGGTAAATCGAGAGCTTTGCCTTTCGGCTCAGCTCCCTCTTCACCACAACGGTCCGATACAGCGACCGCATAACTGCGCACGCTGCACCGATCCGCCTGTCAATCTCACGCTCCATTCTTCCCTCACTCGTGAACAAGACCCCGAGATACTTGAACTCCTCCACTTGAGGAAGGACCTCTCCACCCACCTGCAGAGGGCAAGGCACCTTTTTCCGGTCGAGCACCATGGCCTCGGATTTGGAGGTGCTGATTCTCATCCCAGCCGCTTCACACTCGGCTGCAAACCGTCCCAGTGCATGCTGCAGGTCCTGGTTCGTTGGAGCCAACAGGACAACATCGTCCGCAAACAGCAGAGATGAAATCCTGTGGTCTCCGAACCGGACCCCCTCCGACCCCTGGCTGCGCCTAGATATTCTGTCCATAAATACAGTGAACAGAACCGGTGACAAAGGGCAGCCCTGTCGGAGGCCAACATTCACCGGGAACAGGTCTGACTTACTGCCGGCAATGCGAACACAGCTCTGGCTCCGGTCATACAGGGATCGGATGGCCCTCAGCAGAGGACCCCCGACCCCGTACTCCCGGAGAACCCCCCAAAGGACACCCCGGGGAACACAGTCGAACGCCTTCTCCAAATCCACAAAGCACATGTGGATAGGTTGGGCGAACTCCCATGAACCCTCGAGTATCCGATGGAGAGTATAGAGCTGGTCCAGTGTTCCGCGACCGGGACGAAAACCACACTGCTCCTCCTGGATCCGAGATTCGACCATCGGCCGTAACCTCCTCTCCAGTACCTTGGAGTAGACCTTACCGGGGAGGCTGAGGAGTGTGATCCCACGATAATTGGAACACACCCTCCGGTCCCCCTTCTTGTAGAGAGGGACCACCACCCCGGTCTGCCACTCCATTGGCACTGCCCCCGATCGCCACGCGATGTTGCAGAGACGTGTCAGCCAAGACAGTCCTACAACATCCAGAGACTTTAGATAATCAGGGCGGATCTCATCCACACCCGGAGCCTTGCCACCATGGAGGCTACCAACCACCTTGGTGACCTCAGCCAGGGAGATGGATGTACCCGCCCCAACATCCTCAGCCTCTGCCTCTGTAACAGAGGACGTGACGGGGGGATTGAGGAGAACCTCAAAGTATTCCTTCCACCGCCCGACAATATCCCCAGTCGAGGTCAGCAGCTCTCCACCCGCACCGTACATGGTGTTGGCAAAGAACTGCTTCCCCCTCCTGAGGCGCCGGATGGTTTGCCAGAATCTCTTCGAGGCCGACCGATAGTCATGCTCCATGGACTCTCCGAACTCCTCCCAGTCCCGGGTTTTTGCCTCTGCAACAGCCCGGGCCGCGGCACGCTTGGCCTGCCGGTACTGGACAGCTGCCTCAGGAGTCCCCCGAACCATCATGGCTCGATAGGACTCCTTCTTCAG